AAAAAAAAAAAAAAAAAAACATACCTGAGGAGAGGGAAAGTGGTGGGTAGTGAGAGAGAGTTGTGAGCGACGAAGTGAGCTCTCCTCGACTTCTTTATATAGGGAATTACCTTTGGTCGTAATGTGGTTGTAACCTACTTCTAGATTACGACCAAAATAAAATTACCACCAGTTAGGGACCACGCGTTACGACCACTTCGGGACTAGTAGTGACGACATTACGACCAATTAGATTCTATCACGATTTACGACCACTTAGGGACTAAATATTACTTCTACATTACCACCAATTAAATTCTATCAAGATTTACTACCACTTTGGGACTAACAATTACTTCAACATTACCACCAATTAAATTCTATCAAGATTTACTACCACTTTGGAACTAACAATTACTTCTACATTACGACCAAAGAAGGTCAACTTTAACCATTACATCCCATTTACCACCAAAAGAATGTCATGAAAAAAAATAATCCTAAGACATGTATAAATAACTTAGACAAATTTCCTATAGAAATATTTCAAATCTATGGGAACATTTGTCTAGATTATTTTTACAAATATCTTAGGCAAACATAACTAAACAATATGTTTTTTACAAAAAAAATATTCCTAAGACAAGTATAAATAACTTAGACAAATTTCCTATAGAAATATTTCAAATCTATGGGAACATTTGTCCAAGATATTTTTACAAATATCTTAGGCAAACATAACTAAACAATATGTTTTTTTACAAAAAAAAATAATCCTAAGACATGTATAAATACCTTAGACAAATCTTCTATAGAAATATTTCAAATCTATGGAAGAATTTGTCTATGGTATTTTTACAAATATCTTAGGCAAAAACTTAATTATTATTATTTTTTTTTTTAAATGGTGTTTTGATTTTTAAAGAAAGAGATGTTTGTGTTTGATGTACAATTTCGAATGGAACTTGGTTATTTATAGGGAATTTTTACGACCAAGGAGGGACTAACTGTTACCACCAAAAGGTGACCAATATATAAAATATATATATGTTACTACCAACCTGGGACCACACGTATATTACGACCAGAAAGGGACCAAAATTAAGACCAATAAGGGACGAATATATAAAATATATATATATTACGACCAAACTAAGACCACTTGTGCTTTACTACCAAAAAGGGACCAACTTTAAGACCAATAAGGGACTATATATATAAAATATATATATATATTACGACCAAACTAAGACCACTCGTGTTTTACGACCAAAAAGGGACCAATGTTAAGACCAATAAGGGACTATATATATAAAATATATATATATTACGAC